GATACACAAGGGTCATCGTTCTGCAGCTACAGGGGGCGGGTGGGGGTTAGGGGGGTGGGGGGAATGCAGGGGGGGATGGGGGATTCCATGAGCACAGGACAAACTGCCTGCTCCCTACCAGAGACCGATAAAGATTATATTTCCTCCTAGAAAGATGCAATACTGCAAGGCGTGGTGATATATACTTGTAATCCCAGCAACTACAGGGGCCGAGACAGGAGAATTGCAAGTTTGAAGCTAGCCTTAGCACCTTCCAGAGACTCTGTCTTAAAACAACAAAAGAAAAACAAAGGCTGGTGGCCCAGTGGTAGAGAGCCCCTGGGTTTAATCTCCAGTAAAAAAAAAAAAAAAAGTACAATAAGACAAACAAAAACTAAACAATAGTGGCACTTAATAAAACTTGGGGGAATACAGGGGTGGAAGTAGCCATTGTTTTAGGAACTGAAAATAGGTGAGTTTGAAATTAAGAAAACTCAGCATTTCAGATGTAAAAAGGATAAAATAGAAATTATTAGATTTTATAATATTAAAGCAGATATGTGATTTTATTGAGTCTGATAAATTCTTTCTATAATGTTTTCCCCCCAAACTATGTTAAATGTGGCCAGTAATTATCTGCCAAGGATACAGGACTGAGGGGGAGGGATCAGCGCAGTCCCAACACTTTCACTGAGGCATGTTCAGCTGGCCCGGAGTTACTTGAAGTTCTTTAAAGTCTAATTATTATTTTTTTCCTTGTGGTATGGAGAATCACACCCAGGGGTTCTTTACCACTGAGTTACATCCCAGCATCCCTCCTCGCCTTTTAAATTTTGAGTCAGGGTCTCGCTAAGTTGCTGAGGCTGGCCTTAAACTCACAACCCTCCTGCTTCAGCCTCCCCAGTGGCTGGGATTATAAGCATGTGCTGCCACAATAGGCTCATTTTTTATGTCAGTGATAGATTAACCAGAGAAATGTATGATTTAGACGTTTGGGCATTTAAGAAAAGTCGTGTTTTTGATTAATGGAGAAATGCACTTGTGAACCTGTTTACCATACTTAACTTTGCATTGAAACAGTGCCCAAAATATCCTCACACAGTGAGTCTGATTCAAATCAATAAATACTTATGGGCTATCTCTCCTGTCTAATGTGTCGAGCAGTGAGCTGGATACAGAAGGTGGATAAAGGGTGTATTATACTATCCATTTTCTGTTTCCAAGGAATATACCATCTGGTTGGGGAGATAAGACCTGGACATGGGAAAAGGAAATAATAGAAAATAAATGTTATTCCAAGACAATTATAAAAGTGCCTGCAAAGCATAATTAATTGTTAAAGGAGTTATGAGGATGATAAATGAACATTTACCATCAGAAGGAGAGATGAAAAGTTTGTCCAGGTGGCTTGTTCTGGGCATAGAGACCTTTTGTCTCTTCCTTCTCCATGGTTGGTCTTTCCTAGTTAATGGTATTTCATAACAACTGCGTTTTTTGTAAGAGAACTTCAGAGGAAGTCTGTGCTTTGGGAGTGAAAAAGGATTCAGACAGGCTGAAGGTGAGGGAAGGAAGGTCAGAGATAAAAATTTGAGGTTTTTCCTTTTAGTCCAATTCACTATACCCTGGAGTTTGGGGGTATTATTTTCTGAGCCCCAACAGTGAAATGAGAGAATGGAATGAGTCATGGAGATAATGTTCTGACTTTGACAGAACCCGTAAGTCAGAGAGGAAGACTCTGATCTGAGGATTTGTTTTAATTTTATTATGGAAAAATCCATATGAATAAATCCTGCCTCCTCCTTTACACTCCAGTGTGTGATAACTTCCCCTACCTAAACTCTTATGTCCATCTCTTCATCTGCCCATTCATTCTGTATTTATACACCCATTCTTCCATCATCTGTTTATTTGTCGAAGGCCTCTGGTATGTCTAGGCACTGAGATATGATCAAGTTAAACAAATTAAAAGTCCTAATCCCTGCCCCTAAGAAGTTCTTCTGGGTCTTGTGGAAGGAATAACAAGAAAGTTGATAATGAATGAAAGCAGTTGTAATATATGGTCATACCTACTTTACATTATTATTCACTTCCCATGTAGGTCCTGGGGGCAGGAATTTCACCTTGCCTTGAATATCATTAAGACTTCAATGAGTGCAAAGATCAGTCTGAGTTGAATCCCTTTAGATACCTTTAGGCATTTGGGAAAGAAAAAAAATTCTTATTAAGTATGCCTCTTGAAGTTCTTGCACTTGCAGGTTGCCATTCAGAGGTCATGGAGAAGGAATGTCGGTCATTGTGGGGACCATTGCCCGAGCTACCTTAAGGGTATGCAGGGCTCAGGAGAAATGACAGCATGTAACAGTCACATTGTCCCAGTTGAGTGTTTGTGGTTAAGAAAATGGTTTGGAAAATACCAGCAGGCATCAATCTGTCATAATGTACAATAAGCAAGTACATGAATTTAAAAATAAAGCTATCAAATTTCGTTGCACAAAGATGGATGGTCAAAGGTGGCCTGGATGTCCCTGGGTGCACCCCATTAGTGCTGAGCCCATGTAATATGAGTGCAGCATTCCTGGGTCCCCTCCCTGGTGAGCAGAGTGTTCATCTCTGACCTCACAGACTTGATGCAGGCCAGTAACTGAGAGTGAGCACCATCCCGGCAGGTTCTTGATACTGCAGTCAGAAGAAGACTCTACTTTTACTGCTTTTACACACACCATGCCTTTGCTTTGAACACAGCGCATTTCCAGCTTGGACCAAATGTCCCTTCCTCTTTGGGACCTTCTATGTCTGATAAAGATGGAGGAGCTTTGCTTTCTTTGAGCCACTGTGGCACTTGTTCTGTACCACTTTTTTGTTCGTGGTTACTTTTTTTAACCTTCTGAAAATTATTTTATATAATTTTTAACACCTCTATTGATTTTCATTGTTTTGAGGGAAGAACCTGAGATTCATTTCATTGTACACATGTTAGATGCTCAATGCACAGTTACTGACAATTTAAATAAGGCAACAGGGTTAATTGGTAAAGTCCAGTCTTTTACATCAGGCAGACTAAGGTTGCATTTCCAGATACTGGTCATGAGATCTTGGGGAAAAACTAAGAAATTCTCAAAGACTTTCTGTCCACCAACCTATAAAACAGGAATCATGGAGAGGAACTAGACAATCTGCAAACTTCCTAGATTTTGATAGTTCTTCCATAAATTCAGTTCTTTTTTCTTGGGTTGTTAAATAACTAAGGTGATCAGTATAACTCTCACCACCTTATAAATGCATCTTAAAAACAGTTTGCAAAGACTAAGGGTATAGCCCAAGAATAGCATGTACAAGGCCTTGGAATCAATTTCTAGCACAAAACAGACAAACACATACTACCAGAATACAAAGGTTCTGATGGATAGTTTCTGTTTTCTAGATCTGCTTCATGGGCTGTAGATGTATTGGGTTATCCTTCATTGTGTGATTAAATATAATGTCTTCCTATTCTGACCTTCGGCAGGCTAAGATAGAGGTGGGACCATCCCAGGGAAAAGAAGAGCTCATTACAGGCCATCAGTGACATAGAGAAGTTGGACTCAGGCAGGAATAATCAAGGATGTTGCTTTAGGATGATTCATTAAGCCATACATTTGCTGTGTGGCTTTCCTTTCATGTTTGCATTTTATTTTACAATAGAAAAAGAAAGTGGAAATAAAAAGAGTAAACTAAAACCCAAGACAAAAGAAAAATCCAGGTCTGACCAGAATGTAGCAGGCTTAATGCAAACGGTGCCCCCTGAGCCTGAGAAACAGCCAGTCAGAACAGGCAGGTAAAGAAAAGATGACCACTGGCCAGTCTGGTGATGCAGGTCAGGTCTAGGCTTGCCAGACATGTGAAGGGGACCAAAATACATCACTCTACAATATGCCTCTTTGACATGAAGATAACTTTGAACTGAAAGCAATTAAGAAACAGCAGACGCAGGAAAAAATGCTGCTCGCTATCTAGCTAAAAGCAGAACCTAAATGTCCATTTGTAAAGATGCCTCCCTTTTGTAGAGTGGAGAGGAGCCACTCTTAATCACCTGGGACAACTGTGGACTTTTATCAGCCCAGAGCACTGAGGGAGTCTGATGACAACCCTTATCTTCCATTGGTTTCCCCATATATTTACCATCCTACAATTTACTTCTCCTAGAAATGCTCCCTTTCCCTTTGTCTCGTAGAAAGATCCTCAATCTATCTTTTTTATTGTTGTTGTTGTTGTTGAAATGGTGTATAACCTTTCTGGCCTAAGTGCTTTTGGGGGATCTTCTTTGTCTTATGTACCTATGAAAGCCTCTGTGTACATGTAAAAATATTAACATCAGCTGTGTGCGGTGGTGCACGCCTGCGATCCCGGCAGGAGGATTGCAAATTCAAAGGCAGCCTGAGCTAGTTAGGGAGATCCTGCCTCAAAATAAATAAGAAGGGGCTGTGGATGTGGCTCACTGGTTGAGAGCCTCTTGGTCCATCCATGGCCAAAAAAAAAAAGTATAGTAACATCAAATAAAATTTGCATTCTTTTCTTCTTTTAATTTGTCTTTTTTGTCAGTTTAGTTGGCAGGGCTCCAACTTGAACCTAGGACATGAGAGGAAAAGTCCTTGGCGTTCTTCTGGTTGCCCTTCAGAAGGCCCCTGAGCCATCTGTGATGTGTCTGCTCCAGAAGCTTGTTACCAAAGCCAGGGGCTTTGTCTTGGGTCTGTGAGGGGTGGGTGCAGTCCTTTAGGAAAAGGATCTTGGTGGTCTGCCTGGCAATCCTCACTTCTGGCTCTGTGACTTTTGACTCCAGTATCATGGGATCATTTGCTCTTGAGCCCAGGAAGCCTTCAATCACGCAGGTGCCTTGGACCCATTATCACCTTCATGTTTCCAACGTTTTACTCTCTTTTGTAGCTAAAAATTTGATGCTTTTAAGACTGACTCTGAGCTGTAGGTGAAAGCCTGCCATTAGCAAATCTGCGTTTCTTTTCCTTTCTACTTTCCATCTAGGTGACCTTGAAGTTGGTCCCACTGTGTACCAGACTCTAACACTTGGGCAGTGTTATGCAGTGATATCAATCCATTTGTACCAGTTTGTTGAGATAATGATCACAAAGCAGGTTGAACAAAGCAACTTTATTACTCATGGAGAGGCAGCAAGACTCAATCGATGATGTCTGAGATGCAAGGTGAGCCAGTCCCCAAGGCTCAGGAACGCTGCCTGGGCTAAGGGGGTCTTGTCTGTACCTGTCCCCTTTGCACTGAAGCTGACAGATTGTGAAAGGGTGCTGTACCCTGGGTTTTATACCCAGAGGCATCAGGGATCCCTGGGTAAAACATTGATTGACATCCTATCTCAGGGTGGAGAAGAGAGCCTATCTTGTTCCAGGCAGTTCCTCCTTATCACAGGACATTGCATTCCCAACACATTCTTTTTTTTTTTACTTTTTAATTTTTTTAGTTGTAGATGAACACAATACCTTCATTTTATTTATTTATTTTTATGTGGTGCTGAGGATTGAACTCGGTGCCTCACATATGTTAGACAAGCTTTCTACCACTGAGCTACAACCCTAGCACCCCAACACAATCTTATCTTTGAGAACTACCAGCCTGAAAGGGAAGAAGAGCTCATCTCCAAGGCTACCCAGAAATGGGTCCTGCAGTAACTTTGGAAATGGCTTGTTTCTTTCATACAAGACCTTATGGAAGCCCACTTAAGTTACCTAAACCACCAAGATCCTGATTCTTTATATGGGGTCATAAACCCATCCTATACAAACGTATGGACAACATAACAATTTGCAGAGGTCTCTTTTAGCCTGCCTGTTGTGCTGCCATTAAATGATAATTACGACTTCCTTATCAGGCATAGGAATGGGGGGCTCTCTCTGCTTCTCATCCACCTTGGCTCAGTACATGTTCACATGGCAGAGTTAGCAACTTGCAATTTCCCACTTCTGGAAACTTATTTTTCTTCATCAGGAATCTTTTTTTATATAACTTCCTGGAATTTTCCATTACAATTCATCATCACACTTCTCTGTGTACAATTACCTGATTGTCACCACTGTTGGGTATCAAGTGGATGAAGCAGCTCATGCACCCTCTGCCTTGCTACTTGGCATCCAGTAGATGTTCAATAAACATTGCTGATTGAATGTCCTTTACTAAAATTCCCAGAGATACACATTTGAATGACACTTGCTCCCTGTCCTTAAAGAATTCAGGAGGGAAGAATGTGTTATATAATCACTTCCAGTACAATGTGATAAATTCTCTCAAAGGCTATGGATAAGGTTGAGAGGTGACAGGGAAGAGGAGATTTTCCATTCTGCTTGGGGTGGGAGTGACCCCGAAATACACAAAAGCAAGTAATGCTATCTGTCATGAAATCATGGATCTGAAACGAAATGACAGGTGACAGATTATAAAACTCAAGCTTTGTACATCACACACACACACACACACACACACACACACACACACTTACTTTTCTCATCTTTTATTTTGCTTGAAAAGGTTGCTGCAGTTCATAGCAGTGATCACCAAATGCCAATTTGCGGACTGACTGAGGCACAACCCTGGCATATGGGACCTGGGCATCTAATCTGCACATTTAGCCAGTTCTTTGGGGGATCTGATACAACACCTAGCATGGGGACTGATGGCTCACAGTGATGGAAGCTTAATAAATGCACATGGCTGGGTTCCACCCTCGGGGGTTCTAAGTCAAGGAAATCTGGGGTGAGACTAAGGATTTGCATTATTAATAAATTCCCAGGTGCTTCTGCTGCTGCTGGCCTGTGACCACATTTTGAGCATCACTGGCATCTAAGAAAATCTCAATTGCCTGGCGCTTCTGAGGAATGCAGTGTTCCCCGTAAATGACTTATCCAGATGAATGAAGCTTCTCTCTCCAAATGTCAAGCCTTCATTTCTTTTAATCATATTTAGAGAACCCTTTCTAGAATAAATGTTCCTTTCTTTGCTTTCTGAAAATACAGGATTCTGAACATCATTAAACCCTTTCTTGATGACTCAGTATTATCATAAGGAGCATCCATTATGGCTTTGTATAGAAATGCACTTGGGGATGGTGTTCAAACCCTTTAACCTCAGACAGCCTGAGGCCACAGCAGTCAGGCAGACTCCTCTTCTTAGGGAGCAGGAAGGTTCTGATGGCTTCTGTGCTTTGACAGACAGTTGCCTAGTATTTGCTGGCTTATGAGAAAGCCTTGGGGGTCCTGGGGAGGGGTCTGAGGAGACTGAGTCATGGAGGGCCACCAAAGTGCTTGGTGTAGTGACCGTTTACTAGTTAATACAGAGGCATTTCAATACTTCAGCAATAGTAAAGCCATACTGTGTTAGCCAGCTTTCTGTTCCTGCAACAAAATAATACTTGAGGTGGTCAACTTGTAAAGAAGAAAGTTCTCTTTTGGTTCACAATTTTGGAGACTGCAGTTCATGACCAAGTAGCCCTGTTGCTTTGGGGCCTGTGTCGAGGCAGCGTATCACGGTGGGAGTGTGTGGTAGAGCAAAGCTGTTCGCTTCATGGTGGCTGGGAAGCGAAAGAGAGGAGGAGACTAGAGACCCAGAGTCCCTTCAAGAGCACAACCTCAATGACCTAAAATTCCTGACTGGACTCCACTTCTTAAAGTTTCCACGTTCTCCCAGTAGTGCCAAGCTGGGAAGGAAGCCTTTACACATGGGCCTTCGGGGAATGCTTTAGATCCCGACTATGGCACACACTTGGTTCTGAAACTGCTCAGCTGGATAACAGGTAGTTTTATTGTTTTGTACTTTCTTTCTCGTTAGGAAGCCCTGAGCTGTAATTTATTGTTAGCTCTTATTAACCCATCAATTTACTGCCAGGCCCTCTGGGCTTCCACAGAGGTGGAGCAGGCTGCGTGTGGCAAGCCTGCTGGTCCACTGGAAAACTACGCAGGGCCCTTGACTTTGCTGAGACTCTACTCTCTCGTTCAGATCTGAATGCATTCTCGCCTCACAATATTATAGAATAGGGAGGATAGAAAGGGCAAAGTATGCAAAAGCTCTTTAAAGTCGTCAAATGTTACACAAGTGAAAGGGATTATTCTTCTTTTTACTGAAAAGTGTTAAAAAGAAGTGACATTTTTCAAATATTTTCTTCATGGTATGTGATAAGAAATGCTGACTGCTAGTAAGTTTCAGATTCAGTCTGAAGAAAGGGCCAGCGGCAATCCCAATAAATGCTTGCTCAGAACGTAGTTAGGTGGCTCTCCTTTCCTTGAAGTGGCAGACAAAAGCATTTTTTTCCTACAAAAATAACTATTCTCTTGATTCAAGCTGTTCATTTTTTTTAAGGTAATGAATAAAATTTAGGTTAGATTGTGAGTGACAGAAAGGAGCTGAGAAGCAGTAATGAGAGCAAGGTGTTAGCCACAATTAGGCTTTGTGATCATCAGCCCTCTGTGCGTTAGAGAGCACATGTCTTTCTGCATGGATGAAAGGACAGGATTGATTCAAAGGTCCTTTAAAAATAACCGGTGTGCTGGTTTGCCCTGGCTCTGGCTCCTAGGTCAGCACCAGAATGTGTATGTAACTTTTGGTTCTCTCTCTTTCTTTCTTTGCCTGTTCAGTAGGGAGCAGCTGAGTCAGGCTGGTCGCCAATTAAAAAGACCCATGGGAAACACAGCAGCTATGGTGTGAATGTTTGTGTCCCTCCAAACTCACGTTGAAGCTTAATCCCCGACGCAACAGTGTTAAGAAGTGGGCCCTCTAGGAGGTAACGAAGTCATGAGAGTGGAGAGTTTACCATCTAACTCAGTGTCTTTAGGCTTCCATGACAGGGTAGTTGGTAAATGATTTCTCATAGTTCTGGAACCTGAGAAGTTCAAGATCAAGGTGCTAGAAGATTCCAATAGCCTATTTTCCTGCCAATTTGATTCCAGATATTTGTGGAGCAAAGAGCAGGATAGCCTCGCCTCTGCCCCTGAGGGAGTAGAACCACCCAGTAACAGTTCTGGCAAAATAGTAGGGATCATGCGCTTGAGCAACATAGCTCAAGCCCACAGTGATCTCTAAAGAGAGGGCACAGGTGCTTGTGACTAGGCAAAGGAAACTGCAGTTGGAATATCAGGAAAAATCCCAGTAGTGCCCAAAGACATTTTAAATCCTGGTTTTTTCCCCCTTTCCTTCCTACTGCAGTGACTACCTAAAAATGTGTTATTGAGACATGACTCATTCATCCATTCACTCATTCACTCTGGCCCCCCCCCCAAAAAAAAAATTGAGGACTTAGCTTCCAGGACAAGACTTCACTAAGAAACCAAAGGTGAACTAAATGGGATTTGGTTCTGTGGGGACAATATGGCATATGTTACAACAGGTCCACACATCAGGTGAGCTCTAAAGAAGAAGAAATACATCTTCTTGGAAGTGCAACAAGGACAGAAAAGGCTCTCAGAGGAGGTAGCATTTGAGTCCAGCCTGTAATTGACTTTCTCCAAGGTGGTTAACAATGAGACCACACTGAGAATCTCCTTCCGTCTCTCCTGTATTGTCTCCTCCTCTGAATTCATCTTGTTCTTCAGGGGCCAGGTTCTGCGGTAAAGAGTTCATGAACTAGTTTTGTCACCTTTCTCAGAAAATATACCATCGTTTCCAAGCATTCTATATTTACTTAAACAATGCCATTGTATAGTTAATGCTTCAACTCAAGCAGTGACTTTAAGGGGAGGTCTGCCAGATGGTCATGCCATCAAGATGGTCACCCTCTCTATTGGCTCTGCTCTTTTGCCCCAGTTTCCAGATTCTGGCCACAGCTGCAGCATTGTTATGAAAGGACATTTGCAAGATCCACCCACACCAGCCTCTGCAGGGCCCAGGCGCACAGCGGGCTGGGTCCACCCTTTCCTGGTGGGGCAAACACTCGCCAAAGCCTAGCCTCTGACCAGTGGACTACCCAGGGTGCTGAGATCCTGCCCAGACAGCCCACACCAGCCTACACGGGTTCCAGGCTCTCAGTAGGCCAGGTTCACCCCGCTCCTAGCAGGGCAGACACTGCCAGAGCCTAGCCTCTGGTGCAGGACCACCCCTTCTGACCAGTGGACTACCCAGGGAGCTGAGATCCTGCCCAGACCGCCCACACCAGTCTGATTCACCCCTCCCCCAGCAGGGCAGACACCCCCAGAGCCTAGCCTTTGGCACAGGACTGCCCCTTCTGACAAGTCGACTACCTCAGGAGGCCAAGCCCATCGGCCCCAGATCCATTCACTCCAACTTATGATGGTCCCAGATCCAAGATGCAGTGGCATCCATTGAGGGACATCAGCAGGGTCTGGAAGCCCAACGTCAAGGTGAGGTACAGACAATCTGCACAGGTACTACCAGAATATAGGGAAGAAACTGTAATATCTCAGATCCACACTGCAAGAAAGGAAGACACATAGACAACATGAAAAAATAAGGGAGGAAAGTGCCACAAACACACCAGGACACTATAATAATAGAACTGATGGACAGCGAAGTTGATGAAATGTCAGAGAAGAAGTTCAGAAGGTTCATAATTAAAATGATCTGTGAATTAAAGAATGACATAAATGAGCAAATACAGGCAAATATTGATCACTCCAACAATGAGATAAGAGAGCCAATACAGGTAATAAAAGATTACTTTAAGAGAGTGTTAGACCCTGAAAAAAAAAGCAGTCAGAAATCCTTGAAATGAAAGATACAATAAATCAAATTAAAAACTCCATAGAAAGCATAACCAATACACTAGATCACTTGGAAGAAAGAACATCAGATAATGAAGAAAATCTGGAAAATAAAGTTTATCACACAGTGAAGAAAGTTAGAAACCATGAACAGAACATCCAAGAATTATGGGACAGCATCAGAAGATCCAATTTAAGAGTTCTTGGGACAGAGGAAGGCACAGAGGTTTCAAACCAAAGGAATGCACAATTTCTTCAATGAGATAATATCAGAAAATTTCTCAAGCATGAAGAATGAATTGGAAAACCAAATACAAGAGGCTTATAGGACATCAAATGTACAAAGTTACAACAGATCTACACCAAGGCACCTTATAATGAAAATGCCTAGCATACAGAGTAAGGATAGAATCTTAAAAGCTGCAAGAGAGAGGAGTCAGATCACATATAGGGGGAGACCAATTTGTATCTCAGCAGATTTTTCAACCCAGACCCTCAAAGCCGGGAGATCATGGAACATCATATACCAAGCTCTGAAAGAAAATGGATGCCAACCAAGAATCTTATATCCAGCAAAATTAAGCTTTAGATTTGATGATGAAATAAAAACCTTCCATGATAAACAAAAGTTAAAAGAATTTACAACTAGAAAGGCCTGCACTACAGAACATCCTCAGCAAAATATTCCAAAAAGAGGAAATGAAAAAAAAAAAAGGATGAAAATCAGCAGAGGGAGGGATTACACTAAAGGAAAATATAATCAGAGGAGAAACCAAGTCACTTTAAATACTAAAAATAAACAAATATGCCTGGGAATACAAATCATGTCTCAGTAATAACTCTGAATGTTAATGGCCTAAACTCACCAATCAAAAGACATAGAATAGCAGATTGGATAAAAAAAAAGACCCAACAATATGCTGCCTTCAAGAGGCTCATCTCATAGGAAAAGACATTTACAGACTGAAGGAGAAAGGTTGGGAAAAATCAAACCCCTCACATGGACTGCAGAGGCAAGCAGGGTTTCTATCCTCATATCAAATAAAGTAGACTTCAAACCAAAGTCAATCAAAAAGGATAAAGAAGGACACTACATACTGTTCAAGGGAACCATACAGCCACAAGACTTCACAATTATAAATATATGTTCCCCAAACAATGGAGCAGCTATGTTCATCAGATAAACTCTTCTCAAATCCAAGAGTCAAACAGACCACAACACAATAATTTTGGGTGATGTTAACACACTTCTTTCATCACTAGATAGATCTTCAAACAAAAGTTGAACAAAGAAACTATGGAACTCAATAGTACACTTAATAACTTAGACTTAACTGACATATATAG